CAATATTTATAGTATCACACCCCCCTTGTCTCTCTAATATCCTGGGACTGACATGGCTACAACAACACTGCATCCAACAATATTTACAGTAACTTTAAATGTCTCTTCAGTCAAATTATTGTAACTTAAACCAGTTTGTAAACAGACACACTGTTGAAGCTAAGTGGGGAGGGATAGGTATTTTCCAGGGCCGGGCTTTCTGAGGCCCTGACACTTAGAAGTTTTACTGATTGTTGATAAATTGTGTAGTTAATTGCTTCATCACACTTTGGTTTGTTATTTCATTATGAAAAATACTCAAGAGTCCAAATAATCAGTGTCTGTCAGGTTTATTAATATGGTACAGGAAAAAGATTCTATACTATACCAGTTCTGAAGAGCATTTCCGTGCAGCAGTGTTACATTCAACTTACGCAGAAGGTGTGCTCCCCAAGTTACACATTTCAGCTGGTATTATTTATATGATTTTACAAGTTACACATTTCTTTACATGTCACTAAAATCCAGCCTATCAATTTGTTCCAGGTCCCTAACTTCTTGTTCTGTTCCTTTCTTATTTTTGTTTTGGATACTACTATTTCAGGTACTGGTCTGTGAAGGTACTTCACTAGCTTGTACTAAGACATAGAACAAATGTATCTTGATTTTGACAAGTTTCCTATCTGCTTGTGCCAAATGCTTACTTCAGCAAATGCAAGATGCTATGGGAAACTTAGCGTAAGTTTTAGGCTATGTCACTGTTACAGTATTTGTGCTTACCAGTATCGGTGCTTAATGCATACTCATATATATAGATAGATAGATAGATAGATGGTGCAGACAATACATATTATTAATTATATATATTTATATGCTAGTTGGCATATATTAGTCAACACAGATATAACTTTCCTTTTAGGGGTATGATTTTTTTTTTTAACCAAAATATTTATACCAGAAAAAGCCCTAGAATGGATTCAGTTTTACAAGTATAAAGATGCCTTTTATCTGTATCACTTATTCACCTTCTCATATTGGAATAAGTTATGTAAGCACTTTTATAACAGTATAATTATGTTCGCAATACGGAGGTTATATCGCTTTAGCTATACCGGTATTATTAAAGTGGTACAACTTTTGTGTGTAGACAAGCCCTTAATGAGCTGAAATTAAGTGGTCAGGTGGACACCTTGAATAGTAACATTTATAGGATCTCTTTCTCAGAGGTGCTGAGCATGCAAAACTCCAGATGAAGTAAGCAGGAGCCACAGATGCGCAGCATCCCTGAAAATCAGAAAACTATTAATTTAATGTGCATTGTGAATGTGCTGGGTATGGTACAAAACAGATTGAGACTAGGTTCATACCCTAAGGAGGTTAAAAATTTGTAGAATCACAAATCAGAACACAGTATATCAGGTTATTTAACATAGGATGCTGCAGGATCTTTATTTTTTGAAATAAAGTGATTTTCCCCTAAATTTAACATCTTTACTCTTTGAAATCCAAAGCTGTCTCCTTCGTACCTAAATCCCTTTTTGCAAATGAGATTTAAGCTCCTAAATCAGTTTGGCATTGCAATGCTGAGTGCAGCAACACCTTAATATCTTTAAAAATCTGAGTCCTAATGCCTAGTGTGCTGTTCTACACACTAATCTACGCCCCTGTAAAGTTTAATATTCAGTTGTTATATTCCTTCTTAAGAATTGCATCTTGGAAGAGAACTGATAATTAGCTGAATGGTACAGATATGTTTGTTTAAAAAATTAAATAATCATTAAGGCCTTAATTCAGAACAGTACTTAAGTATGTACCTATCTTTCAGCACTAAGTAGTCCCACAGAATTGGGACTACTCACATGTTTAAAATTAGACTCATGCTTAAGCACCTTGATGAATTGGGACCTAAGTGCTACTGTTTGGAACACCACTTCAAGAGATTTTCTGTGTATATCAGTTTTGCAGACTTTGAAGTTATCAGTAAACAGATTTATTTAAAGATTTTTCACTACTAAGTGGATTACAGTGCCCTGATTTTTTTTCATTAATCTGTCTAGATTCACATGCTGTCCCATCACCATGGAGTCTGAACACCTGGAGGAGCGGGTCTTATACTTCTCTCACTTACACTGATGTGAATTCCATAGAATTACACTGGTGTAAAAGCTGGTTTAAGTGTGAGGAGAATAAGGCCGCTGGTATCTAACAGCCAGGCAAACCTTGCTACAAGCAATAGGTTTTAAACGTTCAGTTTTCTTTCCTACAGATACAAATTGTTTTACAGTCCTCCACAGAACAGTTTTGACAGATTTCTTGTTTAGTCTACCACTATCTGACTTTTCTCTTCGTAGTTAATGGCCTTATGTTTTGTTGGATAAAACACCAGTTGTTCTGTACACTGATTTGCTTGAACATTTGTCTGCAAGATTTATAGGATTTTATCGTTTGTGAGTTGTGGGGATTCTCCATTCTAACATCACTTATGGTAGCCTGCTGAAAGTTAGGATATCATGAGTTTGGGTCAGTGAGAGAGCTCCAAAATGTTAGAGTGTAAGGGTTCCTATACATCAGGTGAAAAGATTATGTTCTTAACCCCAGATTAATTTTATGAATTCATGTTTTAAAGTTCGGTGTTTCACCTGGTGCATTGACTTAATAGCAAGGTGGGACAGAGTAAAGGTACCTTACCAGTAATTCACTGTGAGACAGATTTGTGGTCTACTCCGCTTTTACAGATCTTAAATTAATGGATTTAGATTTTTCAGTTTTTTGGGTTTTTTTCAAATCGTAATGTAAAATGTGAACTTTAAAGTGAAAATATAAAGCAGGCTAGTAACCTGAGAGTGACGGTAAATCATAATTTTGGGAGTTTAGAGCCTGAGTTGGAGTTCTTTGAGCCCTCAAATATGGTCCTTTCTCATAGCCTACATGTCCTCTCCTCACATATACGCTGCTGGTCGACACCCAAAGCTTGTGATGGCTTAACTAAAATAAATTTTTATATTGGCTCAATTGAAATGTGTCTGTGCAGGGATTTGCAGGGTTTAAGTATCTCTTTTTAAAAACCAATTTTAGTTAAACCAGTGTAAGTTTTGTGTGTAGACAAGACCTTAGTTCTTTGTACTGAATTTATACAGTTAGACTGTAAGCTCTTGCAGACAGGGATTATATCTTCTTAAGTGTTCTATAGAACATCTACCGGTCTCTAGAAATAATTAAACACAAAGAATTCTCTTAACACTATACTGAGCTTTGTGTTGCCTACATTTTTGTGATTCTTTTTTTGACTGTGCAAAGTTTCCATGGAATCATTGTCATCTGTGTTGCACATCCTCTGTCTGTTATTTAAACTGTAGTATATAAAGGTAATTTATTTTAACACATCTCAGATAAAAAGAGCAAGAAATAATTCTATATCTGTAATTTGGCCCAGTTGACTCTTTACTGTTATATTTGCTGCTTTTTCATTATATTAATTATCCCATTTTAATATTGCATCTCATATTTCATTTCTTAGTTTTATTCAGAGGGAAAAAAGAAAAATAATGGGACAGTGATCACTGAGGGTCCAATAATGTGAGATGCTGAGCACTCCGAGGTGCATAAAAGTTATTTGCAATAAATAGCTTTATTTATTTATTCCTGACCAGTTTGTGACATTGTCAGTGAAAAGCTTGCATGACATGAGAAATGAGACAGCAGGAAGGAAAGATCATGCTATGCATTTATGCCATACCCCACATGACATATTGCAAACTCACTGTTGGCTGATGACACAATGTAGACTAGAAGGCCTGCATGAATTGATCTTCCACTGAATTTTGAGTAACTTTGGTATACCCAGGGTAAAAACATTCTTGCAGTTTTTGATCTTAAAAAAAAGTTCTAGCATAGAAAATGTGTTTAAAATATTAGACATAAAAATGCACCATTTGGGACAGAAATGTGTAACATACACAGAAATTCTACATTTTTGGGCCTTCTGGTATATACAGTTTGATCCTGTCCTCGGAAGATCATTGTTGTGGAAGTAGTTCAGGCAAAGGCAAAAAAACTTTTTAAAATAAAACACGCTGCCCAGTGTGTAGATGAGAAATATTTACGCTTCTTTGATACTTTGGCCTCATTTCTTACTGGACAACCAGGGTACTTTTCTTATTTCAGACCAACTATGAATCCACTCATGTATTTATGCAGGATTTAAACTTCAATTAAAATAAAATAATAATACTAAAAACTTTATAGCTCATATGGTTGCAGAGAGAATCTTCCAAATGTAAACCAGAGCTTTTTGGTGAGCCTGCCTCAGGCGTCTCTAGTGCATCCCTATCCTTCAAAGCTTTCCTGTGCAGTAGCAGAGTGAAATCAACAAGATTTTAGTCATTGTCCCTTCTGCTGTTCAGATCTATAGATGCTGGTGCTGGGGGTGCTGTTGCACCCCCTGACTTCAAGTGGTTTCCATCATATACAGTGTGTACAGTTTGGTTCAATGGCTCTCAGCACCCCCATTATAAAAGTTATTCCAGCACCCCTGTTCAGATCCATGTGGGCTGCAGAGGTAGGCACAAAAGCTACTTATGGTGGGGGAGAAGGACCAGAAAACAGAAGCTGAGCAAATTATACAATAATGGACCACTCTCTCCCCAACAGTCGGGATGGTTTGGGGTAGAAAGACAGAGCGCGCCTTCTCAAGTACAGAAATGATTTATAAACCTCCGTTTATACGACTTGCCTTGAAGAGTTCCACATGCATTTTTCATACCCTAAGGACAAAATAAACTCTTTACATTGCAAGAAAAAGCAAAATGGAATACTATTCTTCCCTCTAGGGGGCATAGGGAGGAGGAAGTGAGAGACTGATTGAAACTGCTTTGAATCGTACGCTAAAAGTTTGGGGGAGAGGGGTTTAAAGTCTCTTCTCTGTAATAGAGGAACAGTTAAGTTTAATGTACTCTGAAATGTCTTGAGCCCTTCCAGTTAGAAATATGGCTTATTCTGTCCTATGTCATTGTTTAGGATGTCATTGGACAGGTTTTGCCTGATGCAACGACAACAGCATTTGAATGTAAGTACAGCTTATTTAACTTCTGTCTGCAGTATGTCTGGTATGGGCTCCTCTGCTCACATTATGCAGTTGTCATTTTTTAAATAAATAATGTTTATGTTCATTATATGTTACAGTTAAATATTTATACATTAATGCAAGTTTAATGATGATACTGAGCTAAGTAATATTTTATTATTTAATTACATCTTGAGTGAGCATATCTCTACAATATAGCTTTAATTACCAACGTGACCTTATCATGCTCTGACTCCTCACTGCAATTATATGGCTTGAATTAAATGAAAAGTATAAAGTACCTGTAGATCTATGATTGTAATTTGAAAATTTAATTCTCACTTTAAAAAACAAAAGAGCTGCAAAGTGCAGCTTTTAAAAGAAATATGCTACAAAGTGTAGAATAATACCAGGCGTGGGAGCATAGCAATTGCTGCATTGAAACCCCGGCTCTACTAGATTTGGGACCTTTCCTTTTTAATTCAGTGGAGACTGACCATATTATGGAGGATGAACCGTTGGTTTCTACTGGAAAAGGAGTTTTTTGCATACTACATCCGCAGTAGGTTGCTGAGGCAGGAGAAGAAGAATGATTGTTGAGATCTTATCCTACTTATGCTCTTGTATAAGGAGATGATCTCTTTTCTCACATATGAAGATAAGTGTCATAACATGACAGTCAGGTACAGTGCATGTATTGTTGTGGTGGGGTGACTGCCTATATTACCTTGAGATCAGTTGTTTCTTTGGATCTAGGAAGATGATATCCCATGTTCATAAGGCTGGATTTGACAGTTGTAGCACAGGTGTTGAGGGCCACACGCCTCCCTAATAACAGGGAAAGATTTGGTTTTCTTTTAAATAGGTTTCTGTGATAATGGGAGGGCTGGAGTCTACGTTTTCACTGCCCTAAAGAACAAGGAATGCTCCGTGAGAGGAGGTAGCAATTTCTTCCATTAGAAGGATGCTCATGAGATGCCAAGTCATTTATTTTCCTTCTTTCCTCTACAAGTTAAAGATATTGGCCAACTTATCTACATTCTTCCTTTTTCTTTTCTTTGTTATGATGATGGCGGGATGGCTGGGCCAAACCTGAGCAGTACTATGATCCCGTGCTCCAGGTCACAACACCTGGAGCGGGGAGCTGGGCTCAGCTCCACAGGACAGGCGCTGCCACTGCAGGGTGCGTGCAGGGCAAGCTTGCTCTGCAACATCCCCCCTAGGGCCTCCCACCCCCTGGGGACAGGACCTGCCACCCTCCCCAAGGGCCTTGGTTTCAGTAGGGTTGGTGGAATATGTAAAGGAGGGGGGAGGGGTCCTTTGAACTAACGGGGAGGCTGAGACATGGGGGCTGAAGAGGGCATAGGGAATATTTAAGGGGTACTGTTCTATGCTTGCTTTTAATTCCTAAAACCGTTTAATGCCATGCAATAATGCTTAATAAAATGGTGTAGTCTAAATAAACTGTTTTTTTTTTTTTTTTAATATGGTTTAGATATTTTTTTTTTTTTGTATGGGGTCATTTGAGGTATTTTATTAATGTAAATGTAATAAAAAGAAGTAAAAACATTTTTAATGGATAAAACGTAATTAGAAATTAAAAAAAAAATGTAAAAAATAAAAAGTTCACAGGGTTCTATAAATAGGCCAAGATCCTACTGTAATTGAAGTCTGTAACAAAGCGCTCATTTACTCCATTGATGCAGATTTGGGACCGATACCGACTTGCTTATTTTCTTTTTCTTTTTGTAACTCTGCACTCTTTTGATCTTTTTTGGCTCCTATGGCATTGTTTTCAAGAAGAAGAATTTGTGAAGGGCAGTCCAACTCCTCTGCCTCAGGCAATAAGATCAGTAGTCTATTTAAGAGTGGAGAGGCTTTCTACTGCTCCTTTCTAGTATTTTTATTCTTATGGGTGCCACGAGTCTGTGCTAGAGGAAAGGTTCCACCAATTTTCTGCAAAAGGTTTGCCCTGATAGAGGTGGGTCTACAAAAAGAGCCATGGGATGTTGCATCTGGTTCGTGAATCTGCATGCTGTATATTGATGCTGGAAGTGAGAGAGTATAGATGATAGAAGGTAAGGCGCAGAGTACTTGGTTGTGTTATGCTTGAGGGATAATCATGGGCATAGAAAATTAAAGGAAATAATTGTTTTGTGAGCCTTCGAGTGCTTTTCTGCTTTTATGTCCGCATGTTTGTTTTCGACTAAAAAACATATCCTGTGGATAAGAACGGTGTTTGTAAACGTCCATTTCCCCTGAGTCTGGGACATGTACCCTTCCCCATTGTAAAACCTAGGACTTGCTATAGGGACCTGAGCAAAACCAGGCTCCAGACCTTACGTTTTCTTTTATGATTGGTTGATTTTTGTTACCTATTTCCCATATCACACATTAGCTTTGTTTGAACTTCATGCACCAGTGAGAGTCCCTGCAATCAGAGCAGTAGCCCATATTAATGGTACCATGTGTAGAACTTTCCTGGAAATACACATCTGCTGCTGTGCTTTCAGTTCATGTCTCTAGTCTGTCATTTACATCTGCACAAAACTATTTCCCCTGCCATTTAACTGGCATCTAAAATATGTTATGTATCTTGATGCTTGATTTCCTGGTTACTCTATCCATATCAAATGCCTAGATTTTACAGGCATAAATGTCATTCTCACCTGCTTGATTACGTTCCAGACACGGATATTTGCCAGCTAGTATAGTCTCCTCGACCGTTTGTTTAGTTATTGTTATCTACAGTGTGTCATTCATTGCAGCCTCTACCTGGGGCTGTGCGTCTTCTACCATTGGACCTTTATGTGGATTCCATCATTGTATTACACGTTTGCTACAAATAAAATGACTAACAACATATGGCCTGTTATGGTCCTTTTATCCAAACTCTGCCATTTTGTGTATTTGTGACACACTGCAGATTTTGCGAAGATTGCTTCATAATATTTGTTTACCATCTGCTGCACTCTATTTGGTATCTTGCTAGGATTTTTTCCTCCATTTTAAGTGACATTAGCAAAATCCAGCCAGTACATAGGCTTTTTGGTTCTACTTTTGCTTCCCTAATGTGCTGGAAAATCATACTGTTGTGCTCTAGGCAACTAGACAAGCTTGGAATTCTTCTCTCTGAATCAGTGCATCATCTATAGCCAGTTTGGGGGCTATACCCAGTTATATTTTTGGGTAGGATGGCAAAAGAATCTCCTCATTTAACATGAGAAATATATTCTCTGGTTAAGAAAAAATTGCCCTGATTGTTTTAGACTTGCTTTCTTTTAATATCGTCTGTCTTTCATCAGTACGTTTGTCTCTTTCCTGTATTCTTCATGCAACCGTAAGGAGTTTTCACAGTTCTGAGTACTCTGGAGCTATTTTCATATCATCTGAATCTAATCCTCTATGACCCTGGAGATCTGAGGATGTTTTTCCAGTGGGCTGTGAGAGTTCATCAGCTACACACCCTTGGAGGTTTCTAGGGTCAGTTTTTTTGTTTTTTTTTTCCCTCTTAAGCCTGACTTGTTTAACAACTCTGGTCTTCCTCTGTCTTTTAAATATATTTTTTGCTCATCTACTTTTACTTCTGATCCCCTCTCTGCTTACAGCGCTTTCATTGCGGTCATTACTCTGACAGCTTTCTTCAGTGTTTCTGATTCTCATGCTAGAACTACTTTGTTTTCAGCCAAGTTGTAGTTTTACAAACCTCTCCTCCCTTTTCTGTCTCTTATATGCTTTCAGGCAAGGAAACGTTCAGTTTCAACTCACTAACTCTTCCAGATCTTTTCATCGTTCTTGACTCGATACAGGTTGGTAACTCTAGAGAGCATTGTTAGCAGCCTGGCAACTTACCAGTTAAATCTCCATGCATCCTCAAGACTATTACAGAAGGTAACTGTGCCAGCCACGTCTCCGTTCAAAGCCATCTTTCCAGTGTCTTGTGATTCTGCTCTGGTAGATTTATAAACTCTAGCTCTCTAAGTATATTCAGTTACGTACTACTACACTGTTACTTCTTCCCCTCTGAGCTCTTTTTGCTCTTTTTCATTATTGCTTTGGAGTTTTCTGCTAGATTTTCAAAAAAGAATGAACACATTCCTTTGCCCAACTAATTTAGATCTGTTGCTGAACTAATGTGTGTAATTATGAGTAGAGGTTCATTTTCATCCAGGGAAATATTCACACATTTTGTGTGATATTTCGTGCAAAGGCTGTGATTTTTTTTTTTTTAAAAGGGACTTAAGCGAGTCAGACACGCATCTCCCATCAGCTTCCAATGAGAATTGGGTGCCTAGGTCTCTTTGAAAATCCCAACCCAAAACCACATGTGTGGTTGATCCCCCTCACCCCCCAGCCTTCAAATATACATGCCTTTAACACTGCCTCATTTTTTAGCTTAAAATTTAAATGTCTTATGGAAAGCAGTTTAGAAAGATCACTGTGTCTGAGACTCTATCTATGCTATGAGCTAGGTGTATAATTCCCTTGCTCGTGTCCGCATATGTTTGCTAGCGCTCACTGAGCTAGCATGAGTCTAAATAGCAGCATCCCCATGATATAAACCCACCTGAAACCAGTGGGTTTGTATGTACTCAGCAGAGCTCAGCCATGCCTCTGCTGCCACCACCCATAATACTGCAGCTATACTATTTATACTGCTATTTATGCTTGTACGGCCTCAAATAAATATGAGCAGGGGAATCACACCCCTGAGTCATACTGTAGATGTAGTAAAAGGAAAATCCAATTTCCAAATCTGGGGAAACATAAATGTTAAAGGAATATTGTATCCTAATTGTACAAACTTCAGAAAGAAAGAAGAATGTTAAATCATGGCAGGCAAAATGGGAAACAAATCAATAAAAAGGTAAATCAGTAAAAAACTATATTTTGCTACAGATTGAGAGTGGGGTTCTGATCAATTTATCTGATTACTTGTGCGTCTTGCATCACAAGAGTATCTGAGTACCTCATAATTGTTAATGGAGATCGAATCCTGCCTTATGCCTTTGGAAAACTTATTCCAATGTTAGATCCTAATTTAAAATATATATATTTTAAAACCCCTCGCTTTACATAAGCCTTTCTGAATCTTCTTGTTCTTTCCTCTGCCTCCAAATCTACAGCAGCATCTTTCCTTATGTCACAAGGGATGCAGCGCTGTGTGTATGCATGTCTGTACCTTAGCTCTTATTACAAAGGTGTGATTACATTGCACTATTCGTGAACCACTCACTCTCTTCTCCCACAGTGGTACTGTGCACGAACGTGCGTGCACACTAAGTTTGGCACTAGTCTAAATTGATGTGTGTGTGTGTGTATATATGGACATACAAATGAATGATCATGTGCTGGTTTAATTTTTTTTAAAGGTAAAGCTACTGTTATTAGGTATGGTAGAAACCTGTGCTTCCTGACAGGTATCAGGAGGAAGAAGCAGACAGGGGGCAGATGAGCATGAGACAGGAAAGAATTCATGTAAAGACAGAAGATTTTAGAATAAGAAGGCAGCGGTAAGAAAACAGATCAGGTTTTTGATATTATGTTTTCTCTTTCAACAAAACTGAATAAACTTGATTCCATCTTGGGAGACCTAGACCCATTAAGAAACCACTCAATCTTCACTCTGAATTTACAGTGTCACCAGAATGACTTAATGGATTTGCATAAGGAGTAATATACTGTGCATAGACTGGAATTCCACAGGGAGGTTCTGCTAGCATTGTAAATTGAGAGAGCAAAGTTTCGAGTGCTTTGTTCTTGTCCCCGCTCTTAAAATGTAATTATAGCCTCTGTTTATGTGCATTTGGGATTACTTTGGTATATGCGGTTAGAGAATGATCTGCTCTCCTCCTTTTGTGCTCTTGCGTCTCAAGTCCTTCAGCCACTTGGTCTTGTTTTCCTCACTTGTTTCTTCCACATCACATGTCTAGGCCCCAGACGATGATGATGTCAACAGTCATTTCAAGGTTCTGGGTTTTTTATATAATTGGCTTGCTCGTTCAGTTTATTTTCATTTGTTTGTAGAAGTTCTGTTGTTCAGGTAGAGTAAACAGGCATAATTGATTTATTAAAAACTGTAAAAGGCTTTTCACTTAATGAATGTAATACTTTTTTATCAGATGAAGATGAGGACGGTGATCGGATTACTGTTAGAAGCGATGAAGAAATGAAAGCCATGCTATCCTATGTAGGTATATTGTAACAAATGGGGAATGTTTTTCATGGTTTTCAATTTTCCTGTAATTTTGTCCATTATTCTGCTTGTGTTGAAGTGTTAAAAATCAACTTCAATGATCATAATATATTCCTGTATTATGTGGAGGTGGTGGGTTTTTTTTGTTTTTTTGTTTTTAAATCACATGGAGTTGTGGGCATGCTTGACATTTTTAAAAAGAGTTGTACACTTACTGATCATATGATGAACATTAAGAATAATGCATCTTAATGACTTTTGCATTAGGTATAGTGCAGGCTAAATGGACTATCAATTTCTTGTATTTTTTATGCAGTACTTAAAGTAACGGCTCATTAAAAATGAACCCCTGGGCTCTAAAAAATTTTCAGAATCTACTTTCATCTGGAGACTATTTCACCCCTCCTAACAGAAGAGTTACATTGTAGCTGCAGGCTCAATATGCACAGAAGATTTAAAGATGTATTTCTGTTTTTTTTATATGTACAAAAAAACTAAAAGCAAAACCAGTAACTTATTGAATCACAATTATTTTAACTCATTATTAGCTAAATTTATCTTTCCTATTGTAAATTTAAGTGAAAATTTCCATTTAACAGTTGCTTTCAAATGAAATAGATGAACAGGAAAATAACCAATAGTTTTATGGATCTTTTCTTTTAAGATGAATATTAAGTGCTAAAATCCACTTTTTTGCCAAAAAAGATTTTTTTGTTTTTGTTTTCTGTTTATTTCTTAACTTTGAATGTTGCAAAATTAACTACTGTACAGCCATTGAAGTATCAGTCATCTGATGATGGAGGCCTTTTGTGTGGGATAAAATGCTTTAGCTTAGTTTAGAATTTGTCATCAAAAATATACAGGGTGCTCTTTTGTTATCAAGGCTTATTTTAGGTGGCAACTATTTCCCCCAAAGCATAGAATCCTAGAAGATTAGGGTTGGAAGAAACCTCAGGAGGTATCTCGTCCAACCCCCTGCTCAAAGCAGGACTAACCCCAACTAAATCATCCCAGCCAGGGCTTTGTCAAGCCGGGCCTTAAAAACCTCTGAGGATGGAGATTCCACCACCTCCCTAGGTAACCCACTCCAGTGCTTCACCACCCTCCTAGTGAAACAGTGTTTCCTAATATCCAACATAGACCTCCCTCACTGCAACTTCAGACCATTGCTCCTTGTTCTGTCATCTGCCACCACGGAGAACAGCCCAGCTCCATCCTCTTTGGAACCCGCCTTCAGGTAGTTGAAGGCTGCTATCAAATCCCCCCTCACTCTTCTGCAGACTAAATAAGCTCAGTTCCCTCAACCTCTCCTCATAAGTTTTGTGCTCCAGCCCCCTAATCATTTTTGTTGGCCTTTGCTGGACTCTCTCAAATTTGTCCACATCCTTTCTGTAGTGAGGGGTCCAAAACTGGATGTAATACTACAGATGTGGACTCACCCGTGCCGAATGGAGGGGAATAATCACTTTCCTCGATCTGCTGGCAATGCTCCTACTAATGTAGCCCAATATTCTGTTAGCCTTGGCAACAAGAGCACACTGTTGACTCATATCCAGCTTCTCGTCCATTGTAATCCACAGGTCCTTTTCTGCAGAACTGCCGCTTAGCCAGTCAGTGTGCCTGTAGAAGTGCATGGGATTCTTCCATCCTAAGTGCAGGATTCTGCACTTGTCTTTGTTGAACCTCATCAGATTTCTTTTGGCCAATCCTCCAATTTGTCTAGGTCACTCTGGACGCTATCCCTACCCTCCAGCGTAGCTACCTATACCCCCAGCTTAGTGTCATCCGCGAACTTGCTGAGGGTGCAATCCATCCCATCATCCAGATCATTAATGAAGATATTGAACAAAACTGGCCCCAGGACCAACCCCTGGGGCACTCCGCTTGACACCGGCTGCCAACTAGACATCGAGCCGTTGATCACTACCCATTGAGCCCAACGATCTAGCCAGCTTTCTATCTACCTTACAGTCCATTCATCCAATCCATACTTCTTTAACTTGCTGGCAAGAATACTGCAGGAGACTGTATCAAAAGCTTTGCTAAAGTCAAGGTATATTACGTCCACCGCTTTCCCCATATCCACAGAGCCAGTTATCTCATCGTAGAAGGCCATCAGGTTGGTCAGGCATGACTTGCCCTTGGTGAATCCATGTTGACCATTCCTGATCACCTTCCTCTCCTTCAAATGCTTCAAAATGGATTCCTTGAGGACCTGCTCCATGGTTTTTCCAGGGACTGAGGTGAGGCTGACCGGTCTGTAGTTCCCCAGATTCTCCTTCTTCCCTTTTTTAAAGATGGGCACTATATTTGCCTTTTTCCAATCATCTGGGACCTCCCCTTATCGCCACAAGTTTTCAAACATAATGGCCAGTGGCTCTGCAGTCACATTCACCAACTCCTTTAGCACCCTCGGATGCAGCGCATCTGGCCCCATGGACTTGTGCTCGTCCAGCTTTTCTAAATAGTCCTGAACCACTTCTTTCTCCACAGAGCGCTGGTCACCTTCTCCCCATACTGTGCTGCCCAGTGCAGCAGTCTGGGAGCTGACCTTGTTCGTGAAGACAGAGGCAAAAAAAGCATTGAGTACATTAGCTTTTTCCACATCCTCTGTCACTAGGTTGCCTCCCCCATTCAGTAAGGGGCCTACACTTTCCCTGACCTCCTGTAGAAACTCTTCTTGTTACCCTTCACATCCCTTGCTAGCTGCAACTCCAATTAGGAGATGTCTTTTATTTTGCTACTGTAAAATTGTTAGTAGCTAGGTATATTATCTTTGCTGAAGGCTTTAAAATAAACAAACATTTAGTATGAGTTTGAATGAAAGACATTATAAGGTACCTATATATATCCACAGACTGGATTTTGTGACTGGCTGTTTTGTAAAGCATTGTGTGTGTGTGTGCATGAATCCACATATTTTCATATATATATGTGTGTGTGTGTGTGTGTGTGTGTGTGTGTGTGTGTGTGTGTGTGTATAGATGCGAACTCATGTGTAGTAATAAAATGTAGGGTTACCATATTTTAAAATAACAAAAAGAGGACACTCCAAGGGGCCCCGCCCCACCTCCGCCCCCTTCCCTGCCCCACCCCAACTCCGCTCCTTTCCCAAAGTCTCCGCCCCCTCCCCTGAACGCTCCGCCCCCCTGCTCCTCCCCTGCTTCCTGCGAATCAAATGTTCGCGGGAAGCCTGAAACAGGCAGGCAGCAGGTAAACTGGGGCTGGGCCAGGGTGTGCGCGAGGAGGCGCGTCCCAGTCCGGCGCCCCCGGCTGAGCGGCTCCGGCCCCGGCGGTTCTGGCCTGGCTCGGCTCGGGCACTGGGGCGCCCGCCCCAGCCCCGGCGGCTCCAGCTTGGCTTGGGCCCCGGGGCACCGGCCCTGGTTCCGGCCAAGCGCGCTGGCCCCGGCCGAGCGGCTCCGGCCCGCCCCGGCAGCTCCAGCTCGGCTCGGGCCCCAGGGCACGGGCACCGGCCCCAGCCGAGCGGCTCCGGCCCCGGGGCACCGGCCAAGCAGTTCCGGCCCAGATCCAAGCCCCACGACTCCTCCCTATTTTCCCAGACATGTCCGGCTTTTTGGAATTTCCCCCCGGACGGGGATTTGAGGACCAAAAAGCCGTGCCTGTCCTGGAAAATCCGGACGTATGGTAACCCTATAAAATGGCTAAAGGCCTGATCCGTCATTTCCAGCGGGTGATAGGCAGAATGTTTTTGGATATTTTTACTTGTTTTTGAACATATAGTAGCAAAAATTGAAAAAGGCAAACATTTTTAAAGTCCTGACCCTGTAGACCCTCACTATCCAGAACTTCTGTGGATTGCAAAGACTGCATGATTTGCTTTGTAGGAGGAATCTGATTGGCTGATGAGAGTTCTAAGTATGTATGCCTGATATAATTACAGAGGCTAGGACGTGTTAGTGATTTCATACAAAAATCTAATGCAAAGATTTGATGCAGGTAAGTACTTAGTGCGTTTAAAAGTACAGTTACCAGATACCCATGCTGCTGAGTTGAAAAACTGTATGTTTAGTCTCTGATCTCTAGTCACACATCTTACAATTTAATGTAGGACTAAATAAGCACATCTAGAAATGTTCAGCTAATCAAATGACCTGATTATTTGAAACTTCCAGTGTCTCTCTTTGATAAAGTGAAAGGAATGATCATGTGTGCTCCCATAACAACACATTGTTTCATTGTTACTACTACTGCAAGAGGTTTGGGGATTATTCTTTTAGTATAATGTGACAACATTTGTGGATACTTCAGTGTGTAATGGTGCTGACAAATGTACACTAATTGTAAGCTCAGCTGTAAAAAGTACGTAAAAGGTCATAAGATGCCAGAATAACCTATAATAATGCTCATCTCAACTAACCTCTTCTCTTTTCCCCAAAAGGACAATTATTACCGACTTCGATACTATCTGAGAGACTGTCAAGCAAAGACGTTTTCCTTCTGAAAACTCTCTCCAGCTAAAAGGAGAGGGAACAAGGGATGTTATTAAAATGAATAAAACCCCTACTTAATACTTTTACATTTCAAACATTTTTCCTTTTTTTCTTTTTTTACTTTATCATTAATAAAAGCTTAAAAAGATGTTTAATGATGCATTTGCCATGGTACTAAACAGGCTCAGGTCTCTGTATACCACATCCTGAACCTTGTTTAACACTGTTTAGTGTTGGATAGTAACACCTTTGGCCCATATGTTCCATCTAAATTAATACCTAAAGTAGGGATCTCTTAATTAGGGTTTATTGCTTTTTCACTGTCAACCCCATAGTGGTCATCTTGCAGCCCTGCTTGCTTCCCTGCTCCTTCTGTGACCAGATTCAAGTGTGAGAAATTATATCATCTGCCTTGTCTCTTGCCATTAGCAGATGGTAACATTCTCCTTTTGTGGGAAAGAGGCACCTTCTGTTTCATAAATAGAGTGAAAACTAGAATGATTTCACTTTTTATCTTTCACAAAACTTCTCAGTATTGTTGTT